TTCTCTGAACTACTCAAAATTTCTGCTACCGGTTCTCTGAACTACTCAAAATTTCCGCTACCGGTTCTCTGAACTACTCAAAATTTCCGCTACTGCTTCTCCAGAACCTCAGAACCTGCTGGATTTCACCCCTGGGGCAGCCCATATCCAAAAAGCATCATGACGGAATAACTTCATGTGCACAGACGGAGCAGTACACCATGGGGGATTATGAGAAAATGAGGATGAAGGGACATTATGGGTAAAAAACAGTAGGGGCAGAATAAGACAGGCAAATGGGGAAAATAAAATGCTAGTAAAAGCCAGAGCAGCATTTCAAGATTCGTTAAAACAGACAACTTTCGGGGAGAGTGATCGATGTTACAGGGGAAGCAGCAAATGATAATAATGTGGCTACTATCACATTATAAAAATCAGTGGAACCAAGGTTCTCTGAAACATTTTTCAAGGTTTTTTTGCGGGGGAGGGAAATGCTGGGGGGGTTTTTTAAGTCACCCTAAGCTTATTATAAATCAAACACATTCTAAAAATGGTAGGAAACCCCTCTGCTGATTTTCAACCATCTGGATGCTGGAGAGAGTTGCAAAACAATCCTTTGAAGCCTGCTAAAAGGTCTCTTCCAAAATGGCTGGCTGGCAAAATTGCAATGGGGGAACCAAAGCCCTCCGCCATCCCTTCAGCTCAAGGTACCACCAGATGGTGGGAACAAAGCAGAGGGACACCCAAGGGACATTCAAGACATTCATCTCTCCAGCAGAAAGGCCGAGTTACACATTACCGCGTTAGCACTGACGGTAAGGGTTAGCATAGGGAAGAATGGCCAGTGACTCCAAAACTATTTGGAGAGCGGCGCAGAAGCCAGTGGAGATGATGCAAGGCAGAGTTGCAGAGGGAGTGGAGCTGGTGGCAGACTCAGACAGTGAGGAGGTTGGGGAGGAACATGGGCCAGTCCTGGAGTCTGGGGAAGGCTCTGATGAGGGCTCTATGTCGGAGGCAGAGATGGGGCCAGGGCCGTCCGACAGTTATCAGTTGCCTTCGGAGTCGGACATCAGTGGAGCAGAAGAACAGTTGGAGCCTGTTCCCAATGTGCACATGCACAGAGCTGACAGGAGAAGGGAACAGCTAAGGAACAAGGGCAGACTAGGGAGTAAAGGCACAGGTGGACAGTGAATGGCCCCTCCCATAGGGAATAAAGAGGAGCGAAAGGGGAGTGGAGTTTGCAGGAGATAATTAGTTCAATTCATTAGGGTGAAGATCTGTTCCTGACTGCTTGCCAAGGATTGTCTGCTACAGAGTGGTGTTTGGAAGATATCGGCCTGGCAACTCTCCAAGCCTGATAAAGGTCTGTGGTTGTGAAATCTCTTGAAAGACTGTTGGCCTGGACTTTGCTGGAGAGGAATTCTCTTTAACCTAAATAAAAGAGGTTTTATCGGGACGAAGAGCCTGCTTCATGATCTTGGGAAGGCTAGGTCAGAACAGGGAGTGCCAGGGGAAGGCCATTGGTCTGGGCGTCTCACCGCAGCAGGTTGGGTGCCCAAACGATGGCTAAGTTGCGGATGTGCATGCTGGTGTTTTGACTGTGCATAGCCATGCGTGCCAGATGCCGTAGCAGGAATTCCAGAGTCCTGTTGGGATAGAGCAGAAGCTGCTACAGGGAGAATCTGTTTCAACACACTGAGCCCTCTTCCCCTTCCAGTGGCTTTCTCCCCATCCAACACCTCCCCGAACCATTTCACCCCGTTCTCTGTGCATTTATCCATGTCCCCAACAATACCTACCGGTAGTGCGGTGGGGGCAATTGCTGGATCACATCATGTACCCTCACTAAGCGCTCTTCGCTGCCAGAAACTGAGACAGCCTCCTGTAAGAAGGGGAGGGGGGAAAAAAAAGAGAATTGAAGGATGGGGATTAGAACTCAACTGTATCCCAGTGAGATAGAGCCGAGGTGGCGCAGTGGTTAGAGTGCAGCACTGCAGGCTACTTCAGCTGACTGCAGTTCTGCAGTTCGGCTGTTCAAATCTCACCGGCTCAAGGTTGACTCAGCCTTCCATCCTTCTGAGGTGGGTAAAATGAGGACCCGGATTGTTGGGGGTAATATGCTGACTCTGTAAACCGCTTAGAGAGGGCTGAAAGCCCTATGAAGCGGTATATAAGTCTAACTGCTAACTGCTATTGCTAGTGATTGGGCCCAAGGTCATCCAACCAGCTTTCATGACTAAGGCAGGACTAAACATCAGTGTCTCCTGGTGATTGAGCCAAGTCAACCTGCCAGCTCTCATACCTAATGTGGGACTAGAAGTCACCGCCTCCTGGTTCTTAGGCCAACACCGTTACCACGAGACTAAAAAAACTAGTTTTTTTTCCTGAGTTTCAGCTTTCAGTTTCACTTAACAGCCAGGTTGCGAATGTAACAACTGCAGTGATTTGCTTAAAAATGTGGCAAGAAAAGTCACAAAATGGGGCAAAACCCACTTAAAAATACCTCACTTAGCAACATAAATTTTGGGGCTCAACTGTGGTCATATGTTGAGGACTACCAGTATTGTACTATTTGTCCTGTTGACATCAATAGGATGAAAGCCTGGTTGTCAACAGTAGGTGGCAGTAGTTAGCAAACCGTGGTGGATCCCTCAACGCTAAGCAAAGTTGGCTAGGAGGCTACCAAAAATTACTAGGATTAAAACCTGGATGGGGCAGTCAAACACTACCCAGAAGAACAAAATGGCAACACTTTTCCAACTCTAATTACAGTTAAAAAGAAATCAATATGGACACATCCATGGACTCACAAAGAATTGAGGCCAACTCAACAGAGTCTTCACTTTTCCCTAAAGCAGTGTTTCTCAACCTTGGTGACTTGAAGTCCTGTGGCATAGCTGGCTGGGGGATTCTGAGAGTTGAAATCCACAGGACTTCAAGTCACCAAGGTTGAGAAACACTGCCCTAAAGCCTAACTAAGGTTCTTCCCGCCTGTAACTTCCAGCTGCTATGTTTAATGGCGCCATGAAGGGGAATAACGGCTTTGTTTCAATAAAAGCGGAAGTTCAGAAAAGGGCTCTGAAACATGACGAGAAGGAGACGGTCCAAAGACTATCCTTGAGCAATAAAGTTGAACTTCTGGGTTTTGCAAGATGGGCTCTTATGAATAAGAAATGCCACCAAGCTAAAACAAATAACAGTTCAAAGAGAATGGAAAGGAATGCCGGGGGGGGGGGGGAGAGGAAAAGGGGAGGGCAGTTGGGAGTTAACTCAGCTTAAAATAGCACCACACAAAGAACAGGTAACACAAAAGAATAATAGAGCAGGAGAAATTGCTGCTTATTATGTGGGAGGGCAATGTAACTGTACTCCTGCCTTCCCACCTCCTCCTCCTCTTTGTTCTACAACCCCCCAATTCCACTGTTCTACCAAGGAAAAGGGTGTGCAGCTCAGAAGGCTGTGGAGTGTGTGCCAATGCTCCCTTCATCACGTACATCTCCAGCAGGCGCACCCAGGAGTCACTAGAAGGTGTGAAGAAATGACAGGATCCTCAAGATAGGTAATAAAAGTCACATGAGTAGTGGAGGGGGGGGGAATCTTCTTATTAACGTTAAATGCGGCCTAATATTAAGGTGTTGTTAACCAATTTAATTTGCACTTTGTTCCGGGTTCCCTTATTGAGAAAGGAATGTATCTTTTCAGTTTGTGGCACCAAGATTATGTCACAAAGACCCATCTTGCATTTCTTGTTATCATTTGGGTAGTTTTTAAGAAAGGTCTCTATTGTTACCAATTCTTTCAGAGTAATATAGGATGGATGGATGGATGGATGGATGGGAACGAGGAGAGGGGGGAAGGAGGAGGAGGAGGAGGAGGAGGAGGAGAAAAAAGACAGGAAGAAAAAAGAAAAAAGAAAGAAAAAAGAAAGAGAAAAAGAAAGAAGGAAGGAGGAGGGAAGGAAGGAAGGAAGGAAGGAAGGAAGGAAGGAAGGAAGGAAGGAAGGAAGGAAGGAAAGAAAGAAAGTAAGTAAGAAAGAAAGAAAGAAAGAAGAAAGAGGAAAATCAACAATTAGAATAAATAAGATGTTCTAAAGTCTAAACTGAGTAAGTAAACTCAAAGGCACATGCAAAATGTTCCTCTATTTTTTAAAAAAAGACATATTTTCACACAACTGAACCCTCAACAGAAGGCTCATGAAACTCAAAGCAATGAGGAAGCAGCTTCCCCTCAACTGGACGCACAGGAAGGTGAGCTGCTAAGGTACAGCACACTGGAGGCGAGAGTTGCAAGAAAGGGAATCTTCTCTAATGTTTTGGGGTTTTTTTTAAACCTACCGCAAATTTGTTGTAGAGCTGATAGGTGAGCAGAGGGTTTGGTAATTCCCGGAAGTAGAGCTTGCAGAGAGAGCTGACCGAATGGATGTCTTGCAAGTAAACATCTTTGGAGAGCTCAGGTACCCGCTCACTATCAAATTCATGCCTGGGGACAGAGACAAAAGAGAATTCATCAGGGGGCAGGATAGATTGCAGGAGTTCATTGTCACGTTCAGTGAAGGCTCCAGTGGAGAAACTTGTCTGGTAGAAAGACAACAGCAGGCAGCTCAAGGATGCAAAGCAGGTGGGACTATCATCTGTGCCAGGGGTGTCAAACTCACGGCCCAGGGGCCAAATCTGGCCCGCCGGGTGCTTAGATCTGGCCCGCGGGGCCGCCCTAAAAACAGCAAAGGACCAGTCCATGGTGCCTCTGCCAGCAAAGCAGGCGGCCATCCTGCGTTCCGTTTTCACTGGGAGAATGCGTGGGCAATCACAGGTGCCCCCGATATGAGTGACGTCGAGCTGGCCATGCCCACCCTGGCCACGCCCACTCAAGGTCAAACACAACCCTGAATGAAATCGAGTTTGACACCCATGGTCTATGCTATTAGGATTTTCCTAGTTTTTATTTATTTGGTATGTTATCCTGCCTTTATTATTGTTTTATGAATAACTCAAGGCGGTGGATATACCTATTATTCCTTCCTCCTCCTATTTTCCCCATTAACAACAATCCTGTGAGATGATTTGGGTTGAGAGAGAATGACTGGCCCAAAGTTATCCAACCAGCTTTCATGCCGAAGGGGGGAACCAGAACTCACTGTATTCCGGAGATATGTAGTCTAAATAACTTTCCTTTCTCAGAGAGTCAAGGACATCTTGCCCTGCACCTGGAGTGGTGTGACTGGGAGGCATCTCCAGTTGGGACGGTGCCTGATTGGACCATGGGGTGCACATGTGGGTGCTGGGCAGGGACTTGAATTTTCACTTGGGTGGGGAAAACCTGGAAACTTTCAGATTCGGGTTTTCCCAGACGTACCAATATGACATCTCTATTAGAATGGAACTTTGAGGAAACTCAAGCTTCAGAGCCTTATTTCGTTAGGGGTGTTACTTGGAACCCCGATATTTTCATTATTAATTATTCTTTTCCTTACTTTTTACATGTTATCTCTATTGCTCCTCCCATGGTCTACACTCACCGCAAACGCTGGATGTTGGAGGAGACTCCGGAGAGGCGGTAAATGCCATCCACGATGCCATGTTTTTCGATGAAATCAGAACAAGAACGTAATACCTGGGGGACTGACATAATAAAAAATGTCATGTCTTCATAATTCTTAGGAAAAAACAGACAACAGAAGACTAATGTTTCCTGCTGACATTACATCATTTAGGAATATGGCAGGGGGTTGAGAGGGAGAGTACGTGCACGAACATATGGCTACCTTTCAAAATGTTTAATCATACGCCCACACACTTCTAACTAACCTTCTGTGAAGAGGGTTTCATCCTGCAATGGATTGACTCAGGATGATGATTGATGATGACGTTGAGAGGAGGAGGAGGAGGAGAAGGAGAAGGAGAAGGAGAAGGAGAAGGAGAAGGAG